CGCCACGTTGCACCACAGACTGTCCAGGAGTTGGCGGATGCTTTAGTCCAGGTCTGGGAGGAGATCCCTCAGGAGACCATCCGCCACCTCATCAGGAGCATGCCCAGGCATTGTAGGGAGGTCATACAGGCACGTGGAGGCCACACACACTACTGAGCCTCATTTTGACTTGTTTTAAGGACATTACATCAAAGTTGGATCAGCCTGTAGTGTGTTTTTCCACTTTAATTTTGAGTGTGACTCCAAATCCAGACCTCCGTGGGTTAATAAATTTGATTTCCATTGATAATTTTTGTGTGATTTTGTTGTCAGCACATTCAACTATGTAAAGAACAAAGTATTTAATAAGAATTTTTCATTCATTCAGATCTGGGATGTGTTATTTTAGTGTTCCCTTTATTTTTTTGAGCAGTGTATAACATTATGTGATAACCATCATTATATATGTATATATAACATCTCATCAATGTCTTATTTCTCTAAAGACATATTTCCTTGTTTTTCCTCTCCTCGTGTTTCATTCTCACATCTCTCCCTCTTGTCCTATGAGGGCGGAGCTAAGATGCAAGGAAGCGATGCAAGTGAGGGAAACGTGGATGTGAAATCTGGTATTGGGATGAACCCATGTCTCTACCTGCAGCTCCTCTTTGCCTCAGGCTCCGCCTCTGAACACGGCCGCTGCCTCTTTGTGTGGGGACAGGCTCCACCCTCTGGTCCTGGCCCTGCCCCTGCCCCCTTCTGTCCATCCTCCAACCCTCCCCCCACCTCCCTCCTCACTTCTGCTATTTCTACTGGCTGAGAGAGGCTGAGCAGGGTTTGATTGACAGCTGCTTCATCCAATCCCTGAGCAGAGAGAGCCGCACCCGCCCACCTGAGGAGCTCATCATACCTGTGGGTGGGGGGGATGTAAAAAGTGTTTCTTCAGTGATACACAGGAACCTCATTTATGATGTCATCATGAGAACAGACAGGATGTGATGTCAGCACATGAACAGACAGGATGTGATGTCAACACATGAACAGACAGGATGTGATGTCACTCACCTGGACTGTGAGATGACAGGTAGAAACAGACCTGCATGATCTATAACAGAAACAGAGATCAGCTGACTGCAGGAACAGAAGTGATTGGACCAGATTGAGGATGATGTCACAGTTTGGGTGTAAACTCACGCTCCCATTGGTCAGAGATGCTGTGGTCCGGTCTGGCTCTGGACAGGATGCCTTTACCGAAGTAACCCTGAAACAAGACGAGACCGTCACCTGAGGTCTGAACTCTGACCCCAGTTCATCTTACCGAGGATACCTTGTGGTTATCTGTCTGACTAACCCGTCACATGGTCCGTCTGATAACCAGTTACTACACAGCTGGTTCCAACCAGTTCAGCCAGCTCTGGGTTTTCATGTCAGCGACAAGCATGTTCGTGTGAAAGAGGCGGGGCTGTTAATGATGAGTGACGTCATCAGAACGATGAATGAATGAATGAATGAGGAGCTTCATATGTGATGAAACTGTTAGTGTGATGTAAACGACAATCTGTGATCAACAGGAACATTAAATCACTCTCCAAAAATTCACCGTCAGCCGAGACTGAGATTACCATCAGGTGTCACTGAGCTGTGTGGTGATGATGATTATTTTTTATCCTGGTTCACATCATACAGATGTCTCATGTTATTCTGATGAATCACAGGTGTGTTACGCTGGGTTGACACTACACAACATTTATGTCCGTTCTGATGGTCACTCTGTCAGATCAGGCGATTGTGGAATCACAGATTCCACAATCGCCTGATCTATGCTTCCTTTAGGTAACATCATTAGAAATCACTCTATAAATTTCCATTGTTATGCTGATGATACTCAGTTGTATTTATCGATGAAGCCAGAAGAAAGTAATCAATTAACTAAACTCCATAACTGCCTTAAAGACATAAAAACTTGGATGAGCACCAATTTCCTGATGTTAAATTCAGACAAAACTGAACTTATTGTTCTTGGCCCCAAACAACTCAGAGACTCTTTATCTGATGACATAGTTTCTCTAGATGGCATTGCTCTGGCCTCTAGCACTACCGTAAGAAACCTCGGAGTAATATTTGATCAAGATTTGTCTTTTAATTCTCATTTAAAACAAACCTCACGGACTGCATTTTTTCATCTGCGTAATATTGCGAAAATTAGGCCTATCCTGACCCGAAAAGATGCAGAAAAATTGGTCCACGCTTTTGTTACCTCTAGGCTGGATTACTGTAACTCTCTATTATCAGGTAGCTCTAGTAAGTCCTTAAAAACTCTCCAGCTAATTCAGAATGCAGCAGCACGTGTACTAACAGGAACTAAGAAACGAGATCATATTTCTCCTGTTTTAGCTTCTCTGCACTGGCTCCCTGTAAAATCCAGAATTGAATTTAAAATCCTACTGTTAACTTATAAAGCTCTAAATGGTCAAGCTCCGTCATATCTTAGAGAGCTCATAGTGCCATATTATCCCACCAGAACACTGCGCTCTGAGAACGCAGGGTTACTCGTGGTCCCTAAAGTCTCCAAAAGTAGATCAGGAGCCAGAGCCTTCAGCTATCAGGCTCCTCTCCTGTGGAATCATCTTCCTGTTACGGTCCGGGAGGCAGACACCGTCTCCACATTTAAGACTAGACTTAAGACTTTCCTCTTTGATAAAGCTTATAGTTAGGGCTGGCTCAGGCTTGCCCTGTACCAGCCCCTAGTTAGGCTGACTTAGGCCTAGTCTGCCGGAGGACCCCCTATAATACACCGGGCTCCCTCTCTCTCCCTCTCTCTCTCTCTCTCTCTCTCTCTCTCTCTCTCTCTCTCTCTCACTCTCATCCTATTACTGCATCTTGCTAACTCGGCCATTCTGGATGTCACTAACTCGGCTTCTTCTCCGGAGCCTTTGTGCTCCACTGTCTCTCAGAATAACTCATACCGCAGCGGTGCCTGGACAGTGTGACGTGTGTGGTTGTGCTGCTGCCGTGGTCCTGCCAGATGCCTCCTGCTGCTGCTGCCATCATTAGTCATTAGTCATACTTCTACTGTTATTATACACATATGACTATTGTCACACAAGTATACTGTCTGATATTAATACATACTTTCAACATATTGTACCACAGTAGCCAGAACTATAACTATAATATTATTACTTTCATTAATGTTGTTGTAAGCTACTGTCATTACCTGCATCTCTCTCTCTCTCTCTCTCTCTCTCTCTCTGTCTCATTGTGTCATATGGATTACTGTTAATTTATTATGCTGATCTGTTCTGTACGACATCTATTGCACGTCTGTCCGTCCTGGAAGAGGGATCCCTCCTCAGTTGCTCTTCCTGAGGTTTCTACCGTTTTTTTTTCCCCGTTAAAGGTTTTTTTGGGGAGTTTTTCCTGATCAGCTGTGAGGGTCATAAGGACAGAGGGATGTCGTATGCTGTAAAGCCCTGTGAAGCAAATTGTGATTTGTGATATTGGGCTTTATAAATAAAATTGATTGATTAAAATTGAATTGATTGATATACGTATAATCCATTTGAATTGTATAAGCTTAAATCTGGTATTGATTGTCTGGCTCTGTGCATCTTGACAGACTCTTTTCCAGTAATTTTCAGAGATCTCTACCTCTAGGTCACTAGACCATGGCAGTCCTTTGTTATCTGAGGATTCTTTGGATTTAGCTACAGTCATTTTATACAAAAGGGAAACCTGGCCACAGCCTTGAAGATGATCTAATACAGCTTTTTCAAGGCTAGACAGAGGAGGTATACCAGAGGACTCTTTAAGTGCTGTTAAAATGTAACTTCTTATTTGCAGGTATCTGAAAAATGTTTTGAAGGAATGTTATAGTTTTTTTGTAAATCCTTAAAACTATAAAGTACATCATTATCATCATCTTATTAGTGGCTTTAAGGGTAATACAACAGGCTTAAAGGTTGTGTGGGAAAGAGACTTGGGAATAACTTATGAGGAGGAAGAATCGAGCAGATTGACTGGGGAGATGCTAAGTCCAATGAGAGATCCTAGGTCCAAACTCATGCAGTTTAAAATATTCAGTAGACTATACTGGACACCAGTGGGGATGAATAGACTTGGGTTGAGTGAGTCAAACCTCTGTTGGCGCTGCAAAACAGATAAAGGAGATCTTCTCCACGTGTTCCTTTACTGCCCCAATTTAACTGCCTACTTGCAGAGGGTTACAGAAAAGATCATAGACAGTCTAGGTACAAATATCAATCTTAATCCCGCGTTATATCTCCTGAATAGTATGAAAGGAAACGAGAATAAATGACAAAAAAGCACAGTGGCTAAAGGTAGCACTCACCACTTCTAAAAGAGTCATATTGAGGCACTGGGCAGGAAAAAATAACCCGACCTACTCTGTATGGCTCAATGCATTAACAGAAACAGCTTCATATGAACAATTAATATATAAAATAAATGGTAAGATAGATATTTACTCAGAAATTTGGGAACCATTTTTAACACAAATCAGGAATGGACAATCCGGGACTGGAAACTAAAACCTGTTAATTAACTATTACTGTTTCTCAGTGCATTTGTTTGACTGACGGCTGGGAGAGGGTGGGGGGGGATTCATTTTATTCATTTCGATTAATTTCATTTTGTTTGTTTGTTTTAATGGTACCATTATATTCATTCTAATGAAATCCACATCAGCTGTATACTGACTGTATGTGTATAGGCGGTGCTCACATTGTCACAGGTCAGTTTATTTTTGTCATAATTCAGTGATGTGTAGAGAACCCTCTCACCTACAGGTGTGTTGGTTTTAGTTATTTTGTGAATGTATGATGTGTACTCGTTAACACAAAACTAATAAAAAGTAAAATAAGAAAGTACATCATTATCATCATACATATCCATAACTTTGCTAATCCCTCTCTCTGTCCGCAGCCTAAAGCCAGGATCAGCTCTGCCTGGAGAGAATCCACATATTGCTGTAAAATATGATAAATCTGAGTCAATATTTAGGTGTGCTTGTAGCCTATACCAGACTCTTATTGTATTCTGGAAAAATGGATTATGGGTACTTTTTAACAAGTTTTTCAATGTGTCAGAATACAAGTATAGGTTTTGGGGGTAAAAGAGATGTCGTGGCGCGTTCTATTGTGACCCAGGGTATTGCAGCATTGTCCGAGAACCAATGCATAGCTGCTCTAATCTGGGCTGCCCAATAGTACCAGAGAAGGTTTGGAACTTGGAGCCCTCCTCTATCATATGGCAGGTAAAGCAGAGTCAGTCTGAGTCTGGGGTGTTAATTATTCCAAGTAGAGTTAGTTATCATCATCATCTGGCGCGTACCCCTGGACAGATTAAAAGGGTTGGATATAATGGTGTCGGTCATAACTTCTGCACTGGGGTTGCTGTACAGTAGTATTTAATGATATTTCCTCCAAGGCCAAATCTGGGCAATGTTGCAAAAAGATATATGGCCATTCCACCCTGTCAAAGGCCTTGTCGGAGTCGAGGGATATAATGGCTGTGTCTGGGCTCTCCTTTCAGTATGTATAATATTGAGCACCCTTGTCAAATTTTGAAATGCCTGCCTGCCTCTTATAAATCCATTTTGATCTACATGTGTAAGGTCTGGCAAGCATCGTTCTAACCTCATGGCGATGACTTTGGCTAAAAGATTAGTGTGTGAATTTAAAAGTGATATGGGACGGTATGATTCACATTTAGATGGTGGTTTACCAGGCTTCAAGATATTTGTAATAAGGGCTCTGGAAAGAGAAGGTGGCAGAGAATTTGTTCTGAATGCCTCCTCAAGCATTTCTAAAAAAGGAGGCAGCAGTTTATCTTTAAAGGTCTTGTAGATATTGATAGGTAGCCCGGTGGATCATCTCTATTAGGGCCGTAGACATTTACTAAATTGAGATGTTGGCCAAATAAATTACCCTGTAGAATAATAAACCTACCTCCAGGGTCAAGCGTGGTGGCACTTAGGTGAAAAGGGATAGATTTATGAATTAGAATTACCACACCCCTGGCCCGGGATGTAAAATTAGCTGCAAAGATCTGTCCTTGCCATCTTCTCCTCAATCTGATAACCTCACCTGAAGTTAAGTGTGTCTCCTGGAGAAACCCAATTTTTGATCCCAAGTGCTTAAAGCAATAGTTGGTAATGTTGGAGAGCTGGCAAGATTTGAAAGCGGCACCTCCTCTAAGGTACGTCCCCTCCTCCCCCTCCCTCCTGGTTTGTCTTCTCAC